GTCAGTGTGGCTGGAGTCATAGCAAGTGCCGGGGGGTGGGGGGGGCGGGGGGAGACAGGGTCACCGTACTCTCTATCTATGCCGCCCATTTAGGGTACCGACCGCCTGGTACTCTTGGGTACTTCAAATATTTAGTCTCGTCTTTCAATCTGCGAATTCACCGATTCCCCCAAACATTTGTTACACCAGGCAACAGAGGGAACTAAATCTTGAAGGAAGAGTCGGCCAAGCCGACGGGGGAGACTTGAAATCCAGGCCCCGGAAAGCTTAGCCCTCCGGGGGGCCTGTTGAGAAGGGCCTCGAATGCCAGGCCTCCATCCCAGGGGACACTCCACCGTGTCGAGAAGGCACTTCAGCCACAGGCAGAACATGAGGAAATGTTGATATGTGAAAAAAAAAAAAAAAAAAAGTAATGAAATCCGGGATTCTGGACCAATCAGCTATAGTCTGGTAGTACGTAGAGCCAGGGGGTAATATGGTCCAAAGGCTTAAGAAGAGTGAGGAGGGGCGCCTGGGTGGCTTGGTCGGTCGGGCGTCTGACTTCGGCTCAGGTCATGATCTCATGGTCCGTGGGTTCGAGCCCCGCATCGGGCTCTGTGCTGACAGCTCGGAGCCTGGAGCCTGTTTCAGATTCTGTGTCTCCCTCTCTCTGACCCTCCCCCGTTCGTGCTCTGTCTCTGTCTCAAAAATAAATAAACGTTAAAAACAAAATTTTTTTTTAAATAAAAAAAAAAAAAAAGAAGAGTGAGGAAAGTAACACCTAAAATGGACACTATTCCATCAATTAACTTCTTTTTTTTTTTTTTCTGCCAACCACAAAAAGACCATCATTAGTTACTATTAGTGAGGGCCTGGCTTAGAGGGCACCTGTTTTCTGCTGAGCGTCGCGGGTGTGGGCCAGAGGGAGCCGTTCCGGGGCCTCAATCGGGCAGTGACATGATGAGCTCTGTGCTTTGGAAAGGTCACCGCGGCCGCAGCGTGGAGGCTGGCTGTCAGAACGTGCGTGTGGGTGGAGTCGGGGCACGCGGCAAATTCCTTGAAGGCAAGGGTTTTGCTCCGTTTCACCCCTTCTAGCGGCGCCTGGCAAGAGCGAGACCCGGCCGCTGCCAGGTTTGTGGAAATGCCCACTGAACTGAGCCGTCTGGTCTCAAAACCTGGTAAAATGGAGTCGGGACAAAACAGAACTGTTGCCTCTATCTGGAGCTCTTCTGCTTGGGAGAGGCGTCGTGGCTGAGGACAGAGCTAGGGGGAGTTCTCTGAGGTTGCAAACACTCAAGGTTTCGAGGGGCTGTTTGGGGAGATGGAACATCAAGTTCCTGTTTCCTAAATCTGAACAGAACCTGCCTGTTATGTCAGATCTGTGCAAACACGGTATGCGTCAGGCTTTTGCTGTTCATCTTGATTAAAAAAAAAAAAAAAAATGACCATCTGTCTTTCGATAGGCGCTAAAAAGGTCAAAGTCAAAAGGTGTCTATGTGAGACTGTTTAAACAGTCTCAAACATGAGAGTACATTATAGACACATCTGGATTCCCAAGCCACAGAACAGGAATCTTGCAAATGTGCTCGGAGCGTGCCCAGTTCCCACCACGATGCCCTGAGCAGAGCCTGCGTGAGCAGGGCCTTCTGTGTGTCAGCAAGGCGGCTGCTGTCACAAACCACGTTGCCCGTTTGTGGAGCACTCACGAGATGCCGGGGCCACATTAGGGCTTCACCGGCCTCATCGCCCCTACAACTTCTTCACCAGAGCGTGAGTCTCCCACATCGTCCGACCACGAACTCGTCAGCGCTTGGAAACCTTCTCCGGCCCCTGCGGTCCTCTGGCTTCGGCCAGGAAATTCCATGTTTCTGGTTCCCTTCCACACTGACGAAGATGACAGGAACACAATAAAACACTTGTCTCCAAAAGTGACTTCTTGGATCCACTGGCAAAATGCTAGAAAGTGGGTATGAACGGAGCCCAAGAAACAGGACACCCAGGCTCTTTGAGCTCGGGGAGTATTACAGAATCCTATCCCGGGCCAAGAATGAGTCACAATGAAAGCTTTTAAAATATAAAACCATCAACCCAGATTTCAATTCCAAGGAAACACATACTTGGCCATGAGGGAATGCTTAAAAAAAAAAAAAAAAATCAGGCTTAAGCCACTTGACAGGAAAATTAAACAGCCAAGGAACATTCAAATAGAATGATTTACATCCTCCCCCCACCCCCCTTCCAATATGGGTCAGGGCATACATGGATACAGTCTCGGCCAGTGTGCCTGTCCCCTCCCGGGCCCTCTTCTTTTCACTTAACACTGTTTCATGCACACAATCCCGTGCCTGGCTGTGGCTGGCTTATAGCTGCACGGCATTGCCTTTGCCAATCTCTTGGATTCTTCATGATCCCCGTGCTGTTGGGCTCTTGGGCTGCTTGGGGTGGCTGTTTTGGGAATACGAGGATTTTTCTTCCATTATTTATGTGTGCGAGCACTGTTCATTTCTCTCAAACAAATGGAAGCCTGATTGATTTCCTAAGTGTAAGAACGAGATTGGCCCGCAATAAATATTTAAGACTGACCAGGAAGGGCCCGGGAATTACTTTGTTAAAAGCTTTCCCAGCGAAGGGGATGAATGAATAACCATCCTATACGGTATTTGCTCAGCATCTGATGGTTTACAGAGGTTTTCACCTATCTTACTTGATGTTCACAATAGCCCCAGAGAGGTAGACAGGGCACGGATTACAAGGATTATTAAAGCCCCACATTCCCCTCCTCGCCCCCCCCCCCCTTCTTAACAGATAAGGGCGCTAAAGGCTTAAAGTCATTCGACGGAGGTCAGACAGTTTGGGGACTAAAACGCGGGGCTCTCGGTCATTCATACGCATATTTAATAAACATCGATCCAGAGCCTCTTCCAAGCCAGGTGCGATGGCGGTGGGTGCAAAGATGAATAAAACACGGCCCCTGCCAGGAGGAAGCCCGCGCTCTAGCCCCGGGGAGAGAGAGCCTGTTGAAGTAAACAAGGGCCTGCTTTGCAAGGTGATGAGTGTGCTCAAGAGAAAGGAACAGCGTGCGGACCACATTTCTAATCTGATGTTCCGACCGAAACACCGGCTCGGTTGTTTATTCACAATACGTGTTCTCCGAGGGCGGGCGGAGAGGGGGGCTTGACCGTGCGCCGGGAGCGGGGATGGGGGGGGGTGTGATCACATCGCTGGGGGGCTGGTGGGGGACCAAACGAGCAAATAATTTTCGGGGTGCACCCCGGCTCCCCCAATGGCCCCCGCACGAGCTAAGTCAGGGTCGGCGACCCCCCGCCCGCCGCCGCCTCGCGCAGGGCGGGCGGCGGCGCCGGGTGTCCGCCCGCGGGGTGTGCGGGGTCGCGGGGTCCGCCCCTC